GAGCCCGAATTACGATTGTTCGCGATAACGCCCGTACCTGGCCCCCGCTCCCCCTCCCAATTCCCATGGTCACGCCACGATTCTCGCCGGCGCCGTCTGGGAACCGGCCATTCCTGAATCCTTCCCAGACGGCGCGGCGCTGGCGCGCGAGCCCTCCCGAGGCCCAGGCCAGGGCCCCAGAGCCCCAAAACCAGCGAAACGCCTTCCGCCGTGATCTGTGCACGGCTCGATCGGGGCCCCGGCATTCGGCGGTGGACCAACCTCCCTTCAGTAGACCCCCCCTTAGTGAAAACGGCCTGGGACCGAAACCGACGGACCTGGACCCGCAAAAATGACGGCCGCGACGCCCTCTCGCGAACCGAAAGCGGCCAATTCACTGATCGACGTGCCAGGGTAGGAGGTCTGCCAACCTCCGAGGCACTGCCGTGGCCTCCCCCGGCGCCGGGCCCGAGCCGAAAACCTGCCGAGGCCTCGCGCCAGAGCTCTTCGCGAAAGAGCCCGGCGGCCGCTCGGCGGCGGGGGCGCCCGCGCGCGGGCGGCTCGGGGCGGCGCCGTCCTGCAACGGGGCAGCCCCGCATGCGCTGCCGGCAGGGCTGCGGGGCAGGCCTGCGGGGGGGGGGGGGCGCGTTCGCCAGAGGTGCACCCCTGCTGAGAGTTTAAAACATGGAAGGCTAAGAAGCTGGACTTCACTCCTGGCGTTCTCTTAAACCGTAGTCCAGGTCCAGGTCTGCTTACACCCTCCGAAAGGAAAAAGCCCGAAGAACACGCACAGGGTCCAGTCCAATTTCTGGGTCTTCTTCTTATTTTCTGCTGAACGAAATCTGGAGCCCACGAAGACTGATGACTTTTCTTGGGATTCTGGGTGTAAGACGAAGCCAGGACAGGGCCAGCATCGGACCAGGGCAGATCGGGGATCTCCTGGATCCGGCGGCTCCAGAGGACGCAATCGGGCGCCGCAGCCCTGCCGGAGCGCTCCAGGACGCCCTGCGGAGAGCTCCGGGAGGCTCTATGGGAGGGCGCAGCCCTGCCCCGGCCCCGCCCGAGGAAGGCGCGAGGGCAGCGGCGCCGCCCGGGTCTCGCTGCGCAAGGGCCGGAGCTCTCACGGGGGTGCACACGCGGTGGGACGGGTGGATGCCAGGAAGCTGCTAGGGCACGGTCCTCGTCGGCCCTGACATTCGCAAGGTGCCCCAGGGCGCTGCGGGCTCAAGGGGCGATCCGAAATGATCGTGGGGTGTCCATTGGCTGGGCAAGTTCTTACTTGGCGTGCCCACTGTCCCTACCAACCGCCTGGGGAACCAGCGTCCCAGAGCCCCAGGAGGCACCGGGTAAGAATATCTCCCCCACACACACATCTGTGCCCGAGTACAATGAGATCCACTAACCCTGGTGCCCCGCGGACACTGGTTCCACAGGCGGTGGATGCGTGTAAACTTTGGCCTCGGATATACGGCCTCTCGCACATGTTCGGCTATTCGAGGCCAAGTCTTGGACTGGGCCTCGGAGAAAAAACGTCTGACCAAGTCGGGGTTGATATAGAACGGAGGGGTTGGAGATGCCAGACAAGCAATCCGGGGTCCTGGTGGTGGTTCCGCTCTCTGTTCCTGCATCCTCCTGGTGAGCGTGTCGAGCTCCCCCCTGATCTTGACCTCTCCTCTCCCCTCCCCTTGCTCAAGTCCCTGCTCTCCCGTCTTCGTAATTATCCCTCCGCGGGCTCCGCCTCTTCTTCCTTCCCAAGCACCCCTCCCCGCCCGGACCCCCCACCCACCCTCCCACGGGCGGGCCTTCTGGGATGCCGTGAACGAGCCTGGTTAGGAGCTCACTGCACCACCGAGACTTAACTGGCGGAGGCCCCAGACAATGTGTTAGTGCAATGCCGTCGTTGGCCTTGTCGTCGTCATCGTCATCATCGCCCCCACCACCGTTGTTATCATCATCGTTGCAGTCGCTGTCGACGTCGCCGTGATACTGCGCCTGCCAGAGTCACCGACCCGCATTGAAGGTCCTGCGGCCTTTGAGACGAGCTGGGAAGTTGCCATCGGTAAGCGCCATCGCGGCCGCATCGGTTGTGCAAGACCAGCTAGTCGCTCTACGCGCGAGCTTGCGCGCGCTGGGGCACCCGCAGAGATGCGCCAGCCAATGCTAAGGAGTCACTGCAATCGCGGCCGCACGGGTTGTGTAAAACAAATTGCGGGTGGGACGGTGGATGCTAACGCGAGCCG